TGACTCCTAGTCAAAATCTGAAGGGCCAAGGAGAGTCAACAAGCGGGAGAGAGGAGAGGCTCCTTCCCGGCAAAAGGAACAGCAGGGCAGGGGTACGATGTGGACAGAAGGGCAGGCAGAGGCTGGGGCTGCCACCAGTTTTCTGCCTGTGGTCCTGGGAGCAGTGGGCCAGTGTCAGTAGGGATGATAGTTCAGGGCTTGGGACTGTCTCTGCCCAGGTGCTGAGAAGGGTCTGCAGGTAGAGAGGGACATAGTTGGACAGGGGAGAGTCATTGTGACCCAGAGAAGCAAAGGCGATGGTGTGGCCTCATGAGGGGTCCCTAGGAGTGGAAGAGCTCAGGTTCCAGAGACACGGCCCGGTGTGAGGGGAGCTGAGAGGACCTGGTTGGAGGAGAGGAGTGTATCTAGCTCGGCTGGCACAATACCAGGTTCGTCTCTAGAGGTTGACATTTCTCCTTGACCTTTTGTTTACACCCCCACCTCCAAGGTTGAATTAGCTGCCTGCTGAGTTTAATCAAGTTTAATCAAATCTCCTGTCTTGGGGCTGCCAGGGGGGTGAAGGGATAATCAGTCTATTTCCAGAACCCAAAGAGGTTTAGGATAGAAAGTAGCTTTCATTTATCTGTTGTCCCTCCCATCCTGCCTTCCCCAAGTGAGCCAGATGACTCACGCATCCATGGGACCCTCTGTATGGAGGGGGTAGAGGTGGGGGCTTGCTTAATGCTTAGAATTGCTGAAATCACCAGTTCACCATCTCAGCACTAATCCAGCTCTGCTCCTTAAATGGGATCTGGCTCCTACACATTGAGACCAGGGTGCTGGGCCTCTTTGCCAGATCCCCTGCAAATCCCACATACACCTTGCCTGAGCCTCTGAGTGGTCGCCTGGTGAGACAGGGCCAGCTTGCCTAGGGCAGAGGCTGGTTGCTCCATATCCAAGGGTGTAGGGACCCTGCCCTTGCCACCCAGCCCATCCCATCTGGTTGGGGACAAATCACAAGGTATGTGACGACCATGGCTCAGGGCAGTTTACGGGAAGAGCAACAGTGGGCATTTCCACGGAGACAGTCTGCCTCTGATTCACCTTTCTGTGTGGGTTTCCATAAGACTTTGCTAGTTAAGGAAATTTGAAATGAACTTAATTCCAGGCCACTCAGATGGCCTCCTGGAAAATTCAGGAGTGGGAAGAGAGAGCAGGAAAGGAGAGCACTGCTTAGTATGAGTAGCTGAGTCGAACTTTGAGGATTTTAACCTATTCTTTGAAAACTGTATTTGTGAAGTGTAAAACACAGTCGTGATAGAATCTCAGATTCAACCTGGCTAAGTGTGACAACACCAAAGGGTTAGTCGAAAGTAAAACCTCTTGGAGTCTAGCTAGAATCCCTGGTGGGCTTCACTGTGAATGTTTGACACTTACCAAGAAAAATGAAAGACTTTAAAACAATGGCACACCACAGTAAAATAACTATGCAAAGACTTTCTTTAATAAAACTAGGGTGTTGAAGCAGGTAGAAGGAAATGCCCAGTGGATGTATCCAGGATGTTCTTGACTTGGTATTTAGGATTGCTTTTCCTTTTCCTTTTCCCGGCACGCTAACACCTGACGTACAGACCAAGGTGGAAGAACCTGCTGGGGACAGACAACATGGCCAGTGGGAAGACCAATAAGTCTGCACCAAACCATGTTATCTTCAAGAAGATCTCCCGGGACAAATCGGTAAGTGGTGCAGAAGTGAGGAGCTGATGGAAATCATTGTAAAAGAAGAATCAATAAATGAAGCTGGTTCGAGTAATGTGTAGACATGATCAATGTCAGCACCTTTTGTTGGTCAGGGAAGCCCTGTGCCTGTTTTTCATCTGTGTCAGATGGGTGGTCAAGGAGATATACACGAGTGAGTGAATTACAGAAATACAGGGTCCCTTCCATCCCACTGAGATTTCAGTCCTGCAACCCTCAATACTCTCCTGATTTCAGTGCCCACATTTTTACCCCCACCTCTACTTCTTTTTCAAGCCACCATGAGCGCCTCACTTACCATTTCAAACTATTTCATCAATACCTATTTCATCAGTGACACACTTGGCCCTTTATCTGTCGTGTGTCCTGCCTGGGGCAAGTCCAGATGCTCATCAATGTGACACTCTCCTCTCTGTGCACCTGCCCCACCGCCAGCCTCTCAGACCTCAGTTGGCCTGAAGGCCCACTGGAGAAGGGATCATGCCCAATTTGCTCCTTTTCTACCCCTCTCCAGGGTCATGTTAGGAGATCCAGATATGCCCATGAACTTCTGGCCCGAGGCCTCTGGTGATGGATCCTCCTTGCTCTATTTGACAGCTTTGTAGGAGTCACTGGTCTAGCTCAGCACCCTGCAGTGCAAGCCACATATATGATTTTAAATTTTCTAGTAGATGCACTAAAAAAATAAGAAGCAGCAGGTAGAATTCATCTTAATACTTTATTATATTTAACCCAATAGATCAAAAAAACTATAATTTTAACTTGTGAAATGTGAAAATTGATGACTCTTTTGTCCAGTCACTGAAAGCTGGTATATATTGACAACACATGTCAATTCAGAGTGGCCATATTTCAAGGAGCTACCTGTAACTAGTGGCTACCAGGGTGGATCTGGATCATTCTAGATCGTTCTTTTGGCTGACTGCGGAAGTCTTATTTTACCCCAGGGGTACAATTGCCGTTCACTTGTAGGGCTTCCAACCAAAGAGCAGGGACCTCAAGGGCCAACAGGGTGTGCTGTTTGGTTTTTATCTCTGGCCTCAGAATAAGCTGTCCATTTCTGACGGTGCCACCCAACAGAACTGGGCTGTGCACATACCTTCCTCTGCCCTTTCCTCTCCTCGCAGAGGAATTCTGTCATTTTCATCTAGTACTCTGATTCTTTGGGGTAACAAGTTGGGTATCCCTCAGGCTTCCATTCTTTAAATACTTTCTCAACTTGAATTTCTCCAGCCCACTTTAAGGAAACCACTTTTGCTGGTTTTTATCTCCAGTGCCCGACAGAGCTGCTGGGGCCTCTGTGACTATGTGTGGAAGAGTGAAAGAAACATTTGCCCAATTTGTGTTCAAAGTCTTGTGGAGGGGACAGGCCCCTACACAAGCAGCCACACACAGTGTGGGCCACGCGGGGTGGGATCACAAGCCATGTGCTCCTAGGGAAAGGCCAGGCTCGCCAGGTGCAGAAGGACTGGGAACCCTGCAATGTCCCCTGAAGTATAGATAAGATTTCCCCAGGTGGCAATGCAGCAGGGCCCTCCCCACATGGGAACACTGGGGACAGGGCACGAATCAGTGGTGTGTGGGGAACGAGGGCTGAGCTGCTGTGGCCTGAGCCCAGGGGAGGTGCAGGGCCCTCAGGGCAGCTTGGTACTAGGAGGTAAATGGCCCTGTCCATCACATGCAAGGGACGGGATTTTATTCCCCAGGGAGCGAGTGAGCTGCCCGCAGGCAGAGAGCAGCGGAGTGGCAATCCTTCATTAGGGTTCCTGCAAGAACCCTCCGAAAGGTGGATGTGATGAGAGTTTCTTAAAAGGAGCTGTTTACTCAGGTGTGGGGAGTGTGATTGAGAGCACAAGTGAGAGCTGGACATACCTCACTGGGACCAGTAGCCGCTGGGCGCTCGCACCTCCCTGGACCTAAGGCATGGGGAGTCGAGCAGGTACCAGAACTCAGGGGCCAGCAGGGCCAGCTGCTAGGAATGGTGACCCCAGGTGGGTCGCTGTGCCAGCTCCAGGCCAGTGGGGACAAACACCTGTTTCCCTTCTTCCCTCCCACCAATATCCAGCCTACCTTTCCCAGAGGCCAGAGGCCAGAGACCAGGGAATCCACCTGATTGGCTCACTTGGGTCAGCCCCACAGGGCGGCATGTGGATCTGGAGGCCAGACCTCCCACCCTTGCCTAGGCCACTGAGGCCTCCATGCAGCGACTGGCCCTGGGTCTATGAGGTTTCCCATGGAATCTTCTCTATAAACCAGGGTTCTGGTAGCATTTGCCTGAAATTACTTCAACATCAGTCATGCAAATAACCTACAAGGCACAGGGACCCACTTTAGGACATCAGATACGGGTGGGAGGGTACAGTATAGAAGAGGATTTAATGCCAGCAAAAATGATATGGGCTGTTCATGCAATGAAACATGTGTGTCAGAAGAAGGGGCTGGCCAAGGGGTGTGCTGGCATTCTCGGCCCACTCAGCAAACACTGAGTGGCTTCCCCTGTGTACCAGACACTGTGGTAAATACTGGGATGCCTTCAGGACGTACAAAGGACATTGAATTCTTTTTTTAAAATATACTTGCTTTTATTTCAAGTCATTCAATTGCCTAACAAAAAGAATTTTAGAGGCAGTGTCTGTGGCTCAGCAGGTAGGGTGCCGGCCCCATATACCAAGGAAGGCAGGTTCAAACCCAGCCCCGGCCAAACTGCAACAAAAAACAGCCAGGTGTGATGGTAGGCACCTGTAGTCCCAGCTACTCAGGAGGTTGAGGCAGGAGAATCCCCTAAGCCCAGGAGCTGGAGGTTGCTGTGAGCTGTGTGACACCACGGCACTCTACCAAAGGCGATAAAGTAAAAAAAAAAAAAGAATTTTAGTAATTCTAATATATGAAACTAACAAATATGATGAATATTAGGTTTTCTTACATATTCCAATGCTGTGTTTTAAATTGAGTCAAAATTCCTTATACATTGGACATACAGTCAGAAGTTACTTCATTATCCAGTTATATACTATAAATTGAAATCATAAAGCAATTCTCTTTGATTTGCTGATACACTAAATTCTCTTTAACATTGTGTGTGCTGTAAACAGCCAACACATCCCTATTATCCCTCTACTTAGCACAAATATACGAATGCATTAGGTTTGAATGAATTTGTTATCATAATTTACTCTTTTTTTTTTATTGGGGATTCATTGAGGGTACACAGAACCAGGTTACATTGATTGCCTTTGTTAGAGGGAAGGAGAGAGGGAGTGGGGGGGTAAGGGGTGTGTTACACCTTTTGGGGGCAGGACACAATTATAAGGGGGTCTTTGTCTGAATTCTTACTGTTTTACCGTGGGTTAAACTGACAAACTGTGGGGACATAATGCATGCTCTCCTACAAAGTGTGTAAAGAGCTTTGCTGCCAAGGGTGTGGATGCCGGCAGGGTGAGGGCCCAGACCATATTCACCCCCTCCCCAGCCAGCAACCCCCCACCTTCCTCAGAGCACGGGGTCAGGGGTACCTGTGCAGAAGCTTACCCAACAGGATTTCCAGGATGCCTTAGAGCGCCCACCTCTTTGCTTAGTCCAGAAATTCTCTTAACAAGGAGGGGAAGACTTTCATTCCACAGCTAGAGATAAATGATTTAACATGCAAGTGAGTGATAATGGTCTCATTTGCACAGATAGAACTTTCCACTCGAGTGTTCAGTTGATGCAGCAAGTTTCCTGGTTGATATCAGACCTGGGCTTGATGGGGAAAGGTGGGGAGAACAGGGAGCCCCTGGCCATCCAGAGAGGTGGAGAGAATTCCTGAGAGCAAACATGTGAGAAGTGAGGACAGAGCACACCTTGCCCACCGCCACGCCGACGCCGGGAGAGAAAGCGGTGACAGGCAAGCAGCATAGCCTCCTCGTTTCAAGACTACTGAAAAGATTCGGGTATTCCTGGTCTTCAACGTGGATCCCTTAGCTTAGTGTTCTCTGACCATTTAAAATCCACGCCTGTTCCTCTCACAGGTGACCATCTACCTGGGGAAGAGGGACTATATAGACCACGTCAGTGAAGTGGAGCCTGTGGGTAAGTTGTCTGGAGTAAAACTTCCTATAAGTCATCAGACAATGGCTAGTTTTGTGTTTCTAAAACAAAAAAATAAGTCTTGCTGATAATCTAATTATAGAAATGCAAATTAAAACATCAGCGATGTGCCATTGGCTGATTGGAAACAATTTTAGAAGGTAAAGCGACACAGGATTCTTCTATAATATATGAAGAATGCTCAAAGCTGGGCCTGGTGGCTCACGCCTGTAATCTCAGCACTCTGGGAGGCTGAGGTGGGAGGATCGCCTGAGCTCACGAGTTCAAGACCAGCCTGAGCAGGAGCGAGACACCACTGCTACCAAACCTAGAAAAACTAGGCAGGCATTGTGGCAACTGCCTGTAGTCCCAGCTACTCAGGAGGCTGAGGCAAGAGGATCACTGGAGCCCAGCAGTTTGAGGTTGCTGTGAGCTGTGATGAAGCCACAGCAGTCTACCCAGGGTGACAAAGTGAGATCTCTGTCTTGATAAATAAATAAATAGAAAAAAAAGAAAGTGAATATAAAAAGGAAAAAGAATACTTAAAAAAGAAGAATGCTCAAAACTTGAGAGTTAAAAAAAAAGCAAAATCTAATGAGCAAATGGGCGAAAGATATGAAAAGACATTTCATCAAAGAAGACAGAGGATGACAAGCTCATGAGAGAATATTCACATCAGCAGCCACGAGGGAAATGCAAATTAATACCATAAATGCTATCAAAACGGCTAAAATAAAGGCAGTGACAATACGAAATGCTGACGAGGGCGCAGAGAAAGTGGCTCACTCACCGGCTGCTGGTGGGAACGTGCTGTGGTACAGCTGCTCTGAAAAGCAGTTCAGCAGTTTCTTAAAAAACTAACCATATACTTACATATGACCCGACAATTACATCCTGGGCGTTCATCCCAGAGAAATGAAAACTTATGTCCTTATAAAACCTCTACATGATTATTCATAGCAGCTTTATTTGTAATAGCTCCAAACTGAAAAGAACCAAAGTGTCCTTCAAAATGTGCCTGTCAGCTTCCTAGTTTTGATACTGTACTATAATTATGTCAGATGTAACCATGGAAGAAATGAGATGAAGGGTACTGTACTATCTTTGCAACTTCCTGTGCATCTCTAACTATTTCAACATAAAAACTTGTTTTAAAAACAAAAGTAGAATCACTGACAGTTTCAGGAACAGAAGACGAAAATGTTCCTTGAAAAAAAACCTCTCTGGAAGGTTATTTTTTTGTTTGTTTTTTGAATGAGACTCTGTCACCCTGGGTTGACTACTGTGGTGTCACAGCTCACAGCAACCTCAAACTCCTGGGCTTAAGTGATCCTCTTGCCTCAGCCTCCCTAGTCCTGGGACTACAGGTGCCTACCACATCTTCTGGCTATTTTTAGAGATAGGGTCTCACTCTTGCTCAGCCTGGTCTCAAACTGCTGAGTTCAAGCAATCTACCTGCCTCCTCCTCCCAGAGTGTCAGGATTACAGGCATAAGCCACCACACAGCCCTCTGGCAGTATGTTATCAAAAGCCAAATCCAATCTGATTATTTATTTATTTATTTATAAATAATAATTTATTATTCATTCATTTATTTATTTATTTTTAGAGACAGAGTGTCATTTTGTCACCCTCGGTAGAGTGCTGTGGTGTCATAGTTCACAGCAACCTCCAGCTCTGGTAATTTATTTTTTAAAAATCATGGAGAGAGGGCGGTGCCTGTGGCTCAGTGGGTAGGGCACCAACCCAATATACCAAGGATGGAGGGATCGAACCCAGCCCCAGCCAAACTGCAACAAAAAAATACCTGGGTGTTATGGTGGGCACCTGGAGTACCAGCTACTTGGGAGGCTGAGGCAAGAGAATC